CAGAATTTCAATTTGCTTTAAGATCAAGCATGCAGTAGAAGTGTGGTTTTATTAAAACAACTTCAGAAAATACATGGACCTAATAAATTATTTGTCTAAAAAAGATGGTTGTTTTCTAGGGACCTTTTGGTTAGCGGCTGTGTCCATGATCGTATTAAATTATGTGTTTACTATAGATGATTGTTTTCTAGTTACCTTTAGGTTAGCGGCTGTGTACTAAGTTCTGAAAATCCGTAAGTACCACTCGAGTTTTAAGACTGGGCTTATGGCTTATCAACAGGTGGTGTTAATGAGTGAGTGGTGAGGAGTGGGGTGAATGTAGTTTGTACTTGGTACCCTGTTTCTTTCGTCCCTGTTTCATTCGTCCCAGTTTCTTTCGTCCCTGTTTCTTTCGTCCCTGTTTCTTTCGTCCCTGTTTCTTTCGTCCCTGTTTCTTTCGTCCCTGTTTCTTTCGTCCCTGTTTCTTTCGTCCCTGTTTCTTTCGTCCCTGTTTCTTTCGTCCCTGTTTCTTTCGTCCCTGTTTCTTTCGTCCCTGTTTCTTTCGTCCCTGTTTCTTTCGTCCCTGTTTCTTTCGTCCCTGTTTCTTTCGTCCCTGTTTCTTTCGTCCCTGTTTCTTTCGTCCCTGTTTCTTTCGTCCCTGTTTCTTTCGTCCCTGTTTCTTTCGTCCCTGTTTCTTTCGTCCCTGTTCCCTCCTCGTGCTGTGAGTTGTGACAGTCAGGTTTATTTATGCCTGGTTTCTGTAAGGGTGTATACGGTGTGGGAAAACGTGTGTGATTAGGTCTGTACTTGTAGTTAGTCAATGTATTGTAGTTTTTTCATAGATTGTGTATTTTGTGTTTAGAATAGACAGTGTTAGGGTAGATACTGTAGATATTAATAAACCATTTTTAGTTTTCTCTACACTTTATTTTATTCAGTCTTGTTTTGTAACCCGCTTATGGTTGTTTGTCTTACATGTTGCGTTACGCATCAGATCACCACTAAGGCGTGTCCGTGAGTTAACAATAACAGAACCAACAAACGTGTTTAAAGGAGTTAACTCTTAAAGCTCTCTTCTCGATAAGAGCGTATCTAGATTTTTCAAACAAACTATAGACTAGTGGTTTACTGAAGCTTTAGAGAGCTTTAGAAAATACATGGTCCTATTAAGTTTATCTTATTCTTTTATTACTGTGTAAGTTTGAATTAAATTAACGAATCAGATAATTGTAAGATTTACTTGTTGGTTAGTGGTTGTGTCTTTAATCACGATAACAATCAGAAAACTACGTTGCTATGACAGTTTTACTGGGGTTTTAACATATCTTCCTTCATACACATATACCATTCATTTGGACACATGAAATATTAAAAATGTATTTAAATAAACCGGGAGTGAACTCCCCTAAACTTTCTCGAATATTCTTATATAAAAAAACAGTGGATGGGAACTCGGGATATGGACATGAATTTTAATCCATTTTAAATATTTAAACTTTTTAAAATAGAATAAAATTTCGTAGAAAAAATAATTGCACACCAGTGAACGCCAAATAAAATGTGCATAATAGTGCAGAATATTATTAGTTATTATAAATTTACATTCGTTTTTGAGAAATCGGAAATAGTGTAAATTAGTACTTTCGGTCAACGGAAATTACTAAAAATTTAAAAGAAGGTAGAGAATTAGATCTTATACTTACATGTGAAATTTCATTTATCTATCTAAAATAGTACTCAAGTTAAAGGTTTTTAAAAATTCAGAGTAGAAAAAGTACCATTTCCGTTTATCGGAAATCACTCAAAAAATGATACGAATCTACGATTTTGATAAAATACTTTTATATGAAATTTCATTAACCTTATTATTTTATTGTATAAAAATTGAAAATATTGAAAATATTGAAAAACTAACGTATTATTTTTTTTAAGTTTTCAGAATTCCACTAACTGAAGTATTTAATACCATTGAATATACACTAATTTAGTATTGTTGTAAATTGACCACACGTGATATTAAAATAATAACAAACCAGAATAATAATAATGATCATAATTTAGGTTAAACGATTAAGTCTTTGGTGTTGGCTAATTCTCTTCATTTAATGGAGCTCAACCTATATATAGCAGAAATGTACTGTTGTAATCACCCAATAATATACCCCTCCAAAGTTTCCCGATACCAGTTTTACTTTGTTAACATTTAAGAGGCTTTGTAAGTCGATTGCTGGTACTAGATTGGGAGCTGTTCGAATAGTGAGGTGCATAGGGGTTGGGCCTCTGCCCCCAGAAGTTCTAGGACGGAACAAAATGGAATTTGTATAGAAAACATACTTTTATCGGTGCCCATCCCTCCCCATGAAATTTAAGTCCCCTACCTGAAAATTTCAAGTACGCCCACAGAAAAAAAAACATTTATTTATATTTAATTATATTACAATATTTCGATGAATAATAACAATATTTGTGATTATGTGTGTATAATTAGATGTAACAGTAACAGCTTTACTTATTTCCAAGTGTTATTCACTTTGATAGTTGCTAGATTGAAAGAAAACTAGACGTTTGAACATAATGTCTGCATTTTAAACCATGGTATGCCTAACCCAATTGAACATTATCAGTATTTTTAGCTGTCCTAAACAATGTAGTTATTGGTCTAAAAATACAATCTCAGTATACACCTTCATTTTTGCGAGATTAGCCATATTTCATGATAATTGATTTTGTTGCTAGTGTCCCATTTATGGGACGTTTTAAAAAAAAAAGTCAATATTTCAAAAGTATTGATTTTAAAAAAAAACAAATCTATAGTCATTCCTGCATTCAGTGACCAAAAGCTAAACCATATCAAAAAATTATAAAAATGTGAGACCTTGGGATAATTTTGTTTAAAGTTAATCATATTAAGCATTGTATTGATTTCGATCTAATATTTTAACAGTAGCGAGAAAAAACGTGTTTTAAGTGTATCAAAAAACGGTGAACATAGGACTAGTTTACAAAAAATAATATCCCCTCTAAACCCTAAAGATCCATTGGACAGATCAAGTAGAAATCGTGTTTCTTGAACTCGTCATATGAAGGAATGGTATAGTCAGCACTAAGTCCAGTCAGCTGTCCATTCCCCAACTTAAGTCAGGTTAGGATCAGAGCTGGGTGGATTCAACAACTGGCAGTAAAGAACTTAAAAGATTCTGCAGCTTATTCAAACAGGCGCATTTTGGTACCTACCAATTTGGAATTTGATGTAGATAGTTGCAGCATTTGACAGCTGTGATAAACAAGTAGAATAAAGACGATCTACCAATGTTGCGATCGTATCCCTTCGTCCATGGAAATCTACTTCATCTGCCCCATCTACAACGGTAAACCATTTTTGTACTTATCTAATTATCAATTGATTTCGCTCAATTTTTTTTTGTTGAACAAATATAAAGTAATCGCCAACCTCACAGAAACTTGGAAGTGATGGAGGGAGTAATACAGGAATATTATTTAAACTCAATAGAGGATTCACGCAGATATTGGCGCAAAAAATGCATATATTTTATACGAAAATATAGATTTTACTACTCAAATGTGTTAATGGCATTTTCTTAAAATTTCAATCTCTCTTAAGTTAAAGGAAGGAGGCTAGTCGATAAATATCTCTTTATGAATGTGAAGTAAAGTAATATATAAATAAATAAGATAGACGCATGAAGTACAGAAATTGTGATGAAAAGGTTAAAATCAATGAAAGTGGCAAGCTACTATGTAAACATTCGCTTATTTTTCATTGTTACTTCCCTTTGACCATAAAATAATTTCATCGATATTAAAGATTGCAAAATCAGCCTTGTTTATTAAACGTTTTCATTTTAGACTACACTACAGATAATGATTGAGCTATTATTTTCTAAAGTTAATACAACAATCCAACAGAAGAAAAAAAAAACAACTAAAGAAACCTCTTGATTTATTTAAATGCGTAAATTGTAAGGATGGGTAGATGAAGTATAGTTCATATTTCTTGACGCCTAAAGCTCTACACATAGTGCAGATCAGCCGCCTTCAGATGAATTCTATTGACTTGCACCTAGATTCTAACTCGATACTTTCGGGTTAGCAGCGTAGCGCTCCACCGCTTAGGCCACGCCGTCCCATGATTTAGTTGCGTGTTATTTCGAAAATGTATCGATATTCGAGCGCAAGTTGGTTTAATGTAGTAGTTCTGTTAAACGTAGTGTTACATATTTTGTTTTAATGGAACAACAACTTCAATGTAAAGCTTACTTTCATATTAAACGGTCATTTGGGCCGTTAAAGTAGAGTACGCCTATTATTGTGTTTACCCGACACAACAAACAGAATTTTTTATTTCACCAAACATATCCTGGTACACACCTAGGATCTGTGGACAGTTGCGTCACCCGGTGCGATCCGCACCCCCTTCCCCGCCCTCGCTACGCCTCTGTCTGTGGAATAAGGAAGTGACTCTACCTGGGATCTTAACACATTCTTTTGGAAGTAAATATGCGTGCTCTATCACTTGACCAATTAATCCCGTTCAGTTTTCAAAAGCCCTGCTTTACTATTTTCAGATTTTCTTTAAAAATTGATTTAAAACGTTTCACTGACCCACTTGTAGTTTAATGTATCGACCGTTACTAAAGTAGCTTACAACAATTTTCACAATCTGTTTAAAAACGTCTAGTAAATTAGAATAAAGGCGATGTTTACACAAGTCTCAGTCTCAGCAACAATTCTGATCTGTTTAAAATACTATTGAAGGCGCTTAACGAAATATCTAACGATGCTATGTGATGTTTCAGATAGACTTGTTTGAAGTTATTTAAGTTAGTCTTTAGGAATATAGTTTACAAGCTATTCTTATATGCGTATTTTACCTAAACAAGTCGACTTTGTTGTAAAGTTTAAATACAACCCATGACTGTCTGCCACAAATATCTACCTCACAAAATGCGACGTTTGACAACAACTCAATCATTACAACATCAACAGACAGCAAAGAAAAATTTAAAAAATTTAAATTATCGTTTAATGTCGTTTAGTGTGAACATTTTATAAACAAAGACAAACAATATGAGCATGACATTTAATAAGTAGGTAATAGCCTAACAATTTGCCGACAAAAAAAGCATAAAATTAACACCATTTGAAACACACAAAAATTAACATTTATTATGTTACATGCAAATTAATTAGATTAAACGGTTTAAAACAATCAAAACATTTGCATTAAACATATACATGTGTCAAAATGTTCATTATACATGCAAGTCTTAACACAAGAGTTTAGAGACGGCAAAGATTCCGCCATTTTGTTTGTTTACATTGTGTAGACAAGGGGAGAGAACTAAGAGTTACATCAGTCAAACCACTCCCCACCATAATTTCCTTCAGAGTTTGATCCACTGTGGGGATGGTGATAAAACAACCCGACATGTCCCAGCATGTAGACATGTGCTCCACTGGAGCCAGGACATGTACATGTTGTGTACCAGTACCTGGTCCAGCCATCCCTCTCATGTCGGTGTGTCCATTGTCCTACAGAGACCTGTTTAGGACAGCCATGAGGATGTGACACTATAACGGTCAGCTTGTCCACATCATCAAATCTCCAGTATTTGTCATCTACTTCCCCACATAGAACATCAAAGCGCCGCCTCATCGTGTCCAGTTCATCAACCAAATTTAAGTCACATGTCACATAAATCAACTCACGCCAGTCTCTCTCAATGTTTGGCACACCCACCACCTCCCAGCCATCAAGATTGACCCCAGGACTTTTATTGTCATCAAAACCTACAACACACCTGGTCTGTCTCGCCTCACTGTCATCAAACACCACGTGTGTGGCTGTCACCACACGAACCATCCCCCACACTTTGCTAGGTGTAGCAGAGACTTGACACTTGGCACAACGACAAGTTTTTCTATCACTCTCTGTGTACTTGTCCAAACGCCACACCCTCCCCGTCCCTAACCTCATCACGTGACTTCCTCTGTCATTATAACATGGATATGGAACTTGAGTGCCTGGGTAAAACTCTGGTCTCTCTAGACTGGTGAATTTAGTCTTTACCTGGACAGTTAGGGCTGCCAATGTTTTGATTGTCTCAGACATGAGGTCGTCGTCATGGTAACGTGAGGGGAGACAAATTGCGTTGAAATCTTTGAGAGGTATAAAACCTTTGTGTCCTGGATTCTTCTTACAGTCAGCAACATGTTTGTGTAGATCAGCTTCTCCTCCATAGCACATCTCAGCTTCATGATTTCCTGAAGAAACAAACAACAAATTATTACTCTAGCAAAGAGAATGTTAGATGTAATGTAAAAAAAAATGTTTTAATAATTCATACAATAGTCATCTAGATGTTTAAACTAGGGCATATATATATTATCTTACATTGTATGTACCCTTTGTTTTAGTGTATCTTACCTGGACAAAGCACACCTGGTTGGTCATTCATTTTATTCTTATTTTGGCTTTCACAGCAAGCCAGATCTGAAAACAGTGTATGAGAATGATAAGTTTCCATAAATAATAATACGTAATGATCTGGTTATAGATGCATTTAAAAAAGAGGGTTATTTAAAATGAAGATACATACAATTGCTGACTAAAAAACAGTATGTAATACAGAATAAACTTCTATACATACATTACTCAATAAATCAACGTGTTAACTGTATTGCTATATAAGCATGAACATATAAATCTACATTTTAAAATTATATTACCTGCCCATTTTATAGTGATTTAACAGGACATATTTTCTTACCTGTAGGCCTACCAGGTGATTTAATCAGGTCGTCGTCATGGTAACGTAAGGGGAGACACATTTTGTTGAAATCCTTAAGAGGTATAAAAGGTTCATGACTTGGATTCTTCTTACATTCTGCAACATCTTTGTGTAGATCAGCTTCTCCTCCATAGCACATCTGACCTTCATGGTTTCCTAAAGGAATAAATACTTTATGTCTCTAGAAAAGAAAATGCTACATATAATACTAAACTTCCCTTTATTTAAATAAACTTTACTAGTCATCTAGATGTTATACTAGCGCTGATATTATATTGTTTACATTATAATTGCCTTTTGCCTTAGTAAATCTTACCTGGATAAAATACACCTGATTCGTCAGTCATTATATGCTTACTCTGAATTTCACAGCTTGCCAGAACTGAAATAATGTAGACATTAAATGTCTAACACATAATGACATACATGCCAATTATATAATAGAAAATAATGTAAATTTTACAGATAGCCTATATTTCCACATTTTGATTTTCTACTGTCTTTAAGATTTAATTGCGCTTTGGTTAATATGTTGTTAATATTTCTTTAAAGCAGTCAATGTTAAAAGTGGCCTATGTACCTACTGTTAATGTTTTTAAATAAAGATGATTATTATTATTACTTTTATGTTAACAGTAGACAAATGTTTTAACTGTATAGTTAGATAAGCAATAACAGATGTTTTCAGAATATTAAAATAAATTACCTGATCATTTTTAAGTGAATTTTAAGTAAATTTTTCTTACCTGAACTGGGTGACTCCTGTTTTCTTTTGGCTTTCTGTAGGAATTGTCCCTGGCCAATGCTGTTATAATATTAAATAAGTAACATTGTATACCAGTAATAATCTTAAAAATTATATAAACATCTTAAGATTCTCATTAATTCTAAAAAAAAAAGTTATAGGCTACTATAGCTTTTTGAAAACAAATAAAAGTGTACGTTTCTAAATTGTTTAACACTTACAATGTGAAGACTCTTAAATGATTTACCTTGAACCTTGAATACACTACACACCTTACTGTTCTCAAATAAATGTTGTTAGAATAAACTGATAGCTATCAGACCTTGTAATCATGCTCTGTAAAATACAATAAAGTTTAACATAATATTTTTTATAATACATTTATATAACATGATGATAATACAAACAACTTTTTACATTATTATTAAGTGTGAGGTGATTAAAAAAATCACAAGAGTTGCTAATTTTTGTTATAACATTTTTATTATCAAACTCGCTCTGTAGGCCTACTTGCGGTTGTTTAATTTAAAATTTAAAATATAACACGAAAAATAAGCTTAAATTAAAATAAATTGAATTATGTTTAATATTTATCAACATTTTTATCAAAATTCAAAGAATTAAATATTGCTTACAATATTTACACCGTTTAACCACTATCATGTTGTCCTTAAATACAACCTATTTTCTTGCTTGGAAGGAATGGCATTTGAACACACAGCAGCCGTCAAAACTTCAACACCTGAAAGCATACAATTAAGGTTACATAAATACAGGAACCATTTCAACTTTAAATGTAATATAAAGTAAATAAAGTTATGTAATTATCTTAAGATTGTGTTAAGAAATGTAACACCTTTTACTTATGCAAGTAGTTATTCATTATTTATCAATGAATGAAAGATATTTAGAAACAAACTGAGCACTAGGCTGCTAACCAAAAAGTTTCGATTTGAAATACGTGTCGAAGTCAAAAGAAGTAAAACTAGGAATAGTCACTCTCTTATAGAAGACATATTTTGATTAATCTAGATTGGAAATTAGATTAGTTATACTGTTTAAAGTTTAGTCTTTCAATGTGTTAATTTTAGATATTAGTAAGCCAAGCTAACAAGAGTAGAGCACTATGAATAGATGTAGATCTAAATCTAGTCTAGAGAATTTATTAACGTAGACGTAGTTGTCTCTAATATCTAGACTTAAGCCATAGACTCAAGTTTTGATTAAGTGGTAGATCTAGTATAAAAAGAAATTTGTGTAAAATCACACTATAGCGTCCTTTATTATTCTGGAATTGTACAGCAGTAAAAAAAACAGTATAACCATGGTGTAGTTTGCCAAGCCGTCCCGGAAACCACAGAAAATACTGTAAACCATCATTTATTTGCTGCCATATTATTTTTAATACATAAAGTATAAAAATGTGCACGGATTGATTTTAGTTGCATTTTAAATACTATTTTGCTAATTATTTTGTATTTCTAGTTATTTTAAGTGTATATGCTAATTTTTGCTGCTACTGAACATTGTTCTAGTTCTTCTTACTACTTTTAACTTTAGTAAATCTAATCGTCTTAATTTACTAGATCTAGATCTAGTATGTTGCAAATCTTCTGCAAATTCTTTTTTCTGTTTCTTAAAAAAAGGCATTAATTACTACACTCGACTTTATTAATAACGAGAAAAATGGCCCGTTGAGGAAGGGTACAACGGGCGCTAGGCTGATAGTGCTGTCTCTTTTCTCTAAACTAAAACCAACTCACCCCCCCACACACACACCACACCCACCCCCCACACACCCCCCCACCCCCCACACACACCACCCCCCCCACACACCGCCCCCCCACCCCCACACACCTGATAGTGCTGTCTCTTTTCTCTAAACTAAAACCAACCCACCCACCCCCACACACCCCCGCCCCCGAAAATTTCAAGTACCCCACCCCTCTCCGTGGAGGAAAAAGTCTAAACTAAAACCACCCCACCCCACCCCACACACAAACCACCCCACCCCACCCCACACACACACCACCCCCCCCCACACACACCACACCCCCCCCCCACACACACACACCCCCCCTCCCCCCCACCCCCCCCCCCCCCCAAAAAAAAATTTCTACCGTCCCATTCAACGAAATATAATTATATACCAGTGTCCGCTCCCCTCCCCGAAAATTCTACCCCCGCCACCGAAAATTTCAAGTACCCCCACCCCTCTCAAGGGAGGAAAAAGTCTGAAAGAAACACTGGTGTCGCGCTTAGCCACTACCCGAAGAATTGCATTAAAGAAATTGCAAGAAAACCACTTTTTAGATTAGACACATTAATTAGGCGGTAATTTTATTATAGAGTATCGATGAAGAAATTTCTTTTGAGTTGGGGAGGGGGGGGGGGCTCAGACGTTCTTACGCGGGGGGTGGAGCTTCGCCCCTACACGAAGAACTGTATGCAAGAAACTCTTCACGCAAACCATTTAGATTAGACAACATTTCCTTTTTATTCAATGTTAGCGCGAAAATCAATGACGTCATATAACTGTGAGCACTCTCTGGGTTTAAGATTATTTTCTACTCTATGCTAAATGTGTCGACGTCATACTTCGTTTTTCGAATTACTATGCATGTTTTTAAATTGCTTGTCTTTTCTCTAGAGCGTTCTTGTCAGACAGATAGATAGATAGATAGATAGATAGATAGATAGATAGATAGATAGATAGACAGACAGCGAAACTATTATTATAGATATTTAGATTTACTAATTGTTACTAATTTTCTGTCAATTAAACTTTAAATTTAGTTAGGCCTAAAACATTAATTTAATGCACATGACTATCTTTATTTCAACGGTCAAATAAACTATGGTTTACGGAAACGAATGTTTACGAAACTCAACAAAAATCATCGGATAATTTACGACGCTAGATCTATATTGTGATTTTACCAAAGTTTTGTTTGTAGAGTAGAGAGAGATAACAATAATTATAATAGCATCATTACTCTATGTTAGTTAGTTGCACGAACCAAGAAAATATGACGTCACAGTCTCAAAACCTTTCGTTTACAAAGAAAATAATTCCGCATAGCGCATCAAACGGCTTTAAAATAGATATCACGTGATTCCTTAACCCGTTTTAACTTTAGTCTTAACGAACTGATGCGGCCGCTTACGGCAGATTAATTTTTTGTTCAAGACCCCTTTTCTATATGTCAAAACAAAAGCAACTTAAAAAGGTTAGTTTTCAAAAAGTGTATTAAAATATTTTAACACTCGGACTAACTCTGTATTTATTCGGATTATTTTAATAATCCATTTTTCTGCTTAAGTCTATTTTTTGTAATATTTTACGCTTTAGCCGACTACGAACTTCGTCTCACAAAGCAATCCTCCGAGTGACACTATTTAAACGGTATCGATACTTTTTAAACCCCTTTCCGCGCCGATTGATTCATTGTAAAATATAACAAGGTAATTAAAAAGTCTAGTGACAATTTTAGCGCAATTTCCTTATGTTATCTAAAAATAGCTCTGTCGTAGCGTAAATCAAGAGCAGGGTTAGTAAAACCATTGGTTAGCTATTAAAACGTTTTTTATTAAAAATTTTTCAGTATTTTACATGTTTTATTTACAATAGAGTTACATGACTAAAAACCATTGCGCGCCTAGCTACCGAACGTGATGGCGCAGCCATTGAACGTGATGGCGCAGCTATTGAACGTGATGACGCGTGTGGTGTGGTTGGATAAACATGCCTACTAATTCGGTCCAAATTTTAATTAATTCAAAAACAAATGTGTGACCGAACGAAAGGATATTTTTGAAAACTTTCTTCGGCAATATTGTTCAAAAATATGGCAGGAATAGATTGGTAAATGTTTTAAGTCGCTAAGTGGTCTGGTTGCCGAGATATGGGCAAAAAAAAATGCATTTTTTCGAGGTTTTTTGGCTTTTCCGGGAAATCCATGAAAGAAACCCGTAATTTTTATGGCCTATGTTCATCCTCGTAACTTGCTTAACATAATTGCTTTTGGAACTAGTCATCGATATTGCTTCGTTGAGGAGGAGATACGACTTAAAGCTGCGGACACACATCCACCAATCCATTCATACATCCAGAAATGACGGGTTAATAAACGCAATTCTCGAGAATGGAAATTGCGCTAATAAATTTTATGACATTGACGCTTTAAATAAAAAGAATACTTACACAAATTGGAGTTTAAATGTTACTAACGTAATTATCTTGTGTTAAATGTTAATACAAGATACATTTATACAAATATGTAATGTTTTGAAGACCCGCTCTAGTTTTAACTCTTTCTTCTTCTTCTTCGTTCTTAATTATTAGTGTTGAAGGGGATCGAGATTTATCTGCCAGTGGGTTTGAACTCGAGACTTTGTTCGAATTTATCAACCATGAGCTTTTTGCCGACTCGACCACGCCTCCAACACAATTAAGCGTTACGTGTCAACTGGTTATGCGCCATTGAGGCCATTGACTCCGATTTCAGCCTGCTTTTATTTTTGGATTTGCTTCCATAGCCTTTGTCCAACCAAGAACAAACTACAAGGCAGCAGTTGTTTGATTTTGGAGTTGTCTCTCCTAGAAGAGTGGCTGTCCCCAGCTAACGAGCCTCATCTGCCCGAGTAGTTTTAACTAATTCGCTGTAATCATGATCGAACTGGGAATCGAGCTATTAATATAAAATAGCCTACTGTAAAAAGATACACACTTGAACTAAACATGGATTTAGTGTAATATATTTATCTATTTCATTAAATGCACAAGTAGACTTCTTTTTGTTAATTATTAACAATGTAGAAAATATTGAAAATGGTCTCACAAACTAGACCAATACTAGTAATATCGATACCGCTTAAACTAAGGTTTTCTGGTAAAACCTTAGTTTAGCGTCGGTTATTATTCCGGAATCGTATAGCAGTAAAAAACAGTAAAACAATGCCAAAGTCTGTCACACACTTCCGGAATTCACCGGAAGTACTGTAAACCATACTTTATTTGGCGTCATCT